CCCACTTTTCCCTACAGCAGGAGAAGAGATACCCCAGTCTCTCCAAGGTGATCGTTGCCCGCCTAGTTAGGGAATCCCATATTGTAGGTCATAACTCTGGTGTTGGGTTTTATTATCAGTGTGAGGGAGGGAGGGAGGGAGGGGTATAGCTGTTCCTCCAGAACAACACTGTCCAGTAGAAATGTAATATGAGCCATGTGTGTAATTTAAAATTTTCTAGGGGCCACATTAAAAAGCTAAAAGTAAACAAGCAAAATCAATTTTAATATTTTCTATTTTAATCCAATGCATCAAAAATATCATTATGTAATCCATTATTATTATTATTATTATTATTATTATTATTATTATTATTATTATCTGTGGCTGTGCCACACGGCTGGTGGGATCTTAGTTCCCTGACAAGGGATTGAACCCAGGCCCTTGGCAGTGTGAGAGCACGGAGTCCTAACTACTGGACCGCCAGGGGATTCCCTGTAATCAATTGTTAATGGGGTATCTTATGCTCTTCTTTTTGTATTAAGTCTTGGATTCCAGTGTGGCTTTTACACTTACAGCACCTCTCCATCTGTCCTGGCCATACTGCAAGTGCTAATTATGGCTAATGGCTATTGGATTGGACAGCACAGCTAGAGAACAGCAGTTCTCCCTTAGCAACAAAAGGGGATTCAGTCTTGATGATCTTAGCTGCCTTCATTAGAGCTCCGTTAGAACCTGGCACGTATAGTAATTGTCACTCAGGGGAAGACAGTGACCCCTGTTCACAGGTAAAATGGCAGACCCAAAGAGCTCTACCTGAATAACAGGGAAAAGGGAAGTCCTGCTCCTGAGACCTGTTTGTGCCAGGAACTTCACACACTCAATCCTTCCCTGTTGTATAGATGAGGAAAAGAACGTGTAGAGAGTTTAGGTTATTTGTCAAGGTCAGATCGCCCCTGTAGAGAACTGAAATTGGATTCAAGTCTAGCTCTAAAGTCCTTGTTCTCCAAGATAAGGATCACTACAGGAAGTCAGGTAAATTGCAGACTCACCTTGGACACCGACTCAATAGATATGGGTTGTTTCCCAAGAAGCTGCATTTTTATCGTGCATCCCCAGTGATTCTGAAGAAGTGGTTCCCACGCCACACTTTGATAAACAGTGAAGGGAAGGACCTCTTCCTCATGCCTTTTTGTAGTGCACCTAATCCCATCCTTCATCCCTCTTAGATGGTCCTCGGAGGCAAGATTACTCTAACAGTTAGTTATATGCAGCTTCCCTCCAACTCTTTGGCCTGTTCTGAAGGGACCACATGCAGGGGACCTTTGGTTTGAAATGAACCAGTCCTGCTCAAGCTTTCCAAGAATTTGATAGAAACCACATTAGAGAAAGAATGTTTCAAGGAAATCTCTGAATCTACAGATGCTAGTTACAATGACAGAGAAAAAAAAAGAAAAGAGAGAGAGAGAGAGGAGAGAGAGAGAGAGAGAGAGAGAGAAGATTGTCTACTTTAAGAATACAAGTTACAGGGCTTCCCTGGTGGCGCAGTGGTTGGGAGTCTGCCTGCTAATGCAGGGGACACGGGTTCGAGCCCTGGGCTGGGAGGATCCCACATGCCGCGGAGCGGCTGGGCCCGTGGGCCACAACTGCTGAGCCTGCGCGTCCGGAGCCTGTGCTCCGCAACGGGAGAGGCCGCGATGGTGAGAGGCCTGCGCACCGCGATGAAGAGTGGCCCCCGCTTGCCACAACTGGAGAAAGCCCTCGCACGGAAGCGAAGACCCAACACAGCAAAAATAAATAAATTAATTAACAAACTCCTACCCCCAATATCTTCTTAAAAAAAAAAAAAGAATACAAGTTACATATTTGTGCTGAACTGGTGGTTAGGGATAACAATAGAACAAGGTTTGGTTGTATCTTGCCCTGTAGTTTTGTTTGTTTAATTTCAAATCTGCGTTTCAGTGTTTCTCTATACAATGTACACAATGTGAACGGCAACATCTTAAATGTTTGGCAGGACATTCATGCTCATGACATCACATGCTGGGAGGACAGGGAGGCCACTGTAGGGCTGGCTTTGGGCAAAGGCAGCATCAGTGCTGCCATTGAGATGTCCCCACAAAAGAGTGTGTGACAGCCAGATGTGCAGCTTAAAGGAGAATTGTGGGTGGAACATTGGCACATGCTGCTTATGGCTTGAATAGCAGCTCTTGAGGAATCTATATTTCTTTACCTCACGCAGAATCTCAGAGCTCAGGCTTTGTGGCCCTGGGGCTGGGGGAGGGAGTGGAGATGGAGGGACTTGTCACTGCTGCATGCCGCATTGTTGAAATGAAAAACATGGAAACCATAAGCCACTTCTAGAGGATTGTAGAAGGTAAGAATTGCTTCTGCTTTATAGCAAAATTACCTTCCAAATGGCAAAGAGCACCTAGTTGTCACAGTCTGGGGCTTTCTTTAATTGAAATGTTATGTCAAGTTACATTCAACTTTGCTTTTCAAACTGTGATGTTCATACCTATCACCTCGGGGTCTGGTTAAAATGCAGCTTCTGATTCAGCAGGTCTGGGGTGGGGCCTGGGACTCTGCATATCTAACCAGCTCTCAGGGGATGCTGATGCTTTTGGTCTAGACTCATACCTGGAGTCGTATACACTCATTAGAGAAAATTTGAACACTAGAAAAAGACAAGTCACAAGCTCTTAGAACTTTAGTCATCCTAAAATGGCTTTTAAGAGCATCTGTTAAAAGTATTTATTTATTCATTAATTGATTCATTTGTTAACTAATTAAGCAAACATTTGATGAGCACTTGTGTTGTGCCAGCCATGCATTAGCCACCAGAAATGAAAAAGAATCTCAAAGTCAATCCCAGCCCTCAGTTAACTCACAGCCTCGTGGTGTAGTCAGGAACGTCATGATGCCATTGGCTTCTTATCATTGCCATCCTTGATCTACTTTGGAAATTTACACCCTGACTGAGAGGAGAAAATAAAATACCAGCAGAAGCATATTAGTGCACAGATTAAAGATAAGAGTTTACGGAATATTTGATATATAAAAGGCATATTGACTAGATCTCCCAACTTTGCACCTTTTTTATGGGTGTTGAAAGTCAGCCAGTCCCCAAACTCCTTAAACTCTGTTGATTTAATTATGCACAGAAGACTGAGGAATGGGCAGAGAAGGCCTTCTCCAGGTTTCTGCACCGTGGCCTGCTGAGACCTTCCACAGAGGAGCATGCTGGTTTTTAGGGGTGGAATTTAGTTGAAGGTGTCAATCTTTTCTTGTTTGAATGCTATAAGAACTTCCTCTCCAGGTGTCAGAGCACAGCTTTTATTATGATAGGTGCAACAAGAACAGTGAAGTCAGCTGCCACTGACTTGTCGTAGAAGGCTCGGCCAGGTATAGTGAGCAAAGTGGATACCTGAAGCAGTGACCCCATGCTGGGGATTGTAGATGATCCAAGGGTGCTCAACTGTTCCCAAGAAAAATATGAAGAATAATATTTCTTTTTTTAGCTGACTAAAAAACAAACAATAAAAATAAAAATCTAGGCATTCACCGAGTGACTAATACAGGCACACACTATTACCAAGTCATTTCATGAAATCCATTCTACACACGGTAAAAGTTGAGCAATTCACAGTCTTGGCCTATTAGGTGGTTCTTCTTCACAAAGCCCTCAGGGAGCCTGGCTCCTTCCAACTCACCGCTTTGCTAGCCCCAGGGGGTGACTCTTGAACTCATGGTGCAAGATGGCAGCATCTACA